TCATAGAGTAGTATCATTGGCCTTGGATTCCACATATAAATATAGCCCCTATTCACTGGATGTAACAAGAATTACAGTATTTTCTTGGACAAAAGTTCAAATAATACAAAGCAATTTTAGTGTTATGCCAATTACACCTAATTGTGTAAAATAACTTCAACGAAGAGTCCGGTGTTATTGTCTCGGCACAATAAACTTTCCACGTGTTTTGTGTTCTTCTATACCTTTACTGGTAACGATAATTGGCAATTATGTTTTCTACGAGTTACGACTTTCTACGAATATATTATATAAGTACCTACAGAACAGATATCTGCTGTACTATTTCGTCTCTATCAGTTTCCTATAGCTTCCTTTTATTGTAACCGTTTCAGGTAAAAAGTAGAAATGATTTATAAAAATTTCCTTGGATTTTAACTTAATCATAAAATATTCAGACTCGATAAAATCTAGTTAGTTTTTAATATTTAATCTTACTCTAAAGATAGAGTAATATAAATATATTTAAACTTAATTTAATATAAAATAATAGAGGGATTGAATTTCATATCGCTGATTATTTGCGCGTTAATTAAATACACACACTGGTACAAACCTAAACGTTTTAACGCATAGTCCACCTGATAATAAAGAAATACTGTGGACCATACATATATATAGATTATAGACTCTTATATATTATATGTTTTTATGATCTATACAAATAAATAAAATTGAAGTGTCTGTTTATAATGTCAAAATAATATCTTTTTTAAATAATAGGTACTCATACCGTGCCAACACAATTTTTAAAATTTTTGTCTGTCTGTATGTCTGCTTGTTTGTTTCGGCTAATCTCCGAAACGGCTGGACCAATATTGACGGGACTTTCATTGGCAGATAGCTGATGTTATAAGGAGTAACTTAGGTTAGTTTTATTTTACAAAAAGACTACCCTAATTCTTCCCGCGCAAAAATAATAAAACCGTAAAGCAATAAATTCAACGCGAATGAAGTCGCGGGGAACAGCTAGTTAAGAATAAAAATGCTGAATGCGTTGTCCCCTGGGGATTAAGATGTCTCGTTACAAATAAAAACGGCATCCGGTTCTTGTCACTTATCATAGTATGATACGAAGTAACATTATGCTGCTATTTCTAGCTGGTATTCTGTGCGAGCGGGATCCTTCCCCGGTCGTGCCAATTTATTCGTACTGCAGCCATAACGAAGCTGCAGCGTGTTCCGACCACTTAAAATAATAAACAAGAAACTTGTTAATGACAACAGAATGGTTCACAAATGCGGTGGCCCAAGTCATTCTCATTTTATTAATAACAATGAAAATGAGTTCTTGCCTCCTTCTTACCTCTCGGTCGTAACGTGGGGTATAATCATTCTTGTGTTCTGGTTTCAAAAACTAAGTGAGTTAGTATAGCTCATATACATTCAATAGCACTATAATATTGTATATAATAATCAGACTTTGAGGTGTTCAGTTATTGGCCTTTCTTGTAGTAGCAAGTGCACATGAACTGCAGTAGCCACTACATAAACTTGTAGCTCGTTTTTCACTATTATATTATTAAAAAAAAAAAACTAGTAACATAGAAACTAGCTATATGGGACTTGCAGCCAAATATATAATATGTAATATAAATAAATTTACATGTTTTTTTCACTCCTGAAAGTTAGAATTGAATTGAATTATAATATATATTAGATGCAGACAAATTATATTGAGATTCCCATCCTTCAGAAGGAAACTTAATAATCAAAACTAAATAATATATTCAGTGCGTATATTTAAAATTCTATAACTGTACTTGTAAATGTTAACCTAACTAATTTTAACTCCATCGATAGGGCCTGGTGAAACCCTGCTGAAAGAAGTGGCTCACAATATCTTCGAAATTAATAATTACGTTTGGCAATGTTACAGTCAAAACACTAACTTGTTTACGAAATCCGTACTATCGATTCTGCCGTCGGTGTTTGGCAAGGTGACCTACTAGGTTCAGCTCTATTTTTTATCTTCTTTATTACTTCCTCAAACTGATGTATGAGTGAATGAATGTACCAGGCATTTAATTTGCATTTCAACATAGCTACAGTAAACCGGGATGCAGAGCAGATGACGTCTTCAATGATTTTGGTCATATTTTTCAAATTGTTAAAAACATTGGTCTTGAACGAAATAGGTTATAATTTTTCATTTTATTTTTTGCAGTAATAAAAAATATCAGTGCGGAATCACTATATCTTCTAGATACCTTTTTGTCGCTAGACAGTAAAACTTATATTATACCTATAATCTATTAAAATTGATCGTAAAACCGCTAAACGTTGATGCGTTTTTACCTCTGAGGACTGAGGAGGAATACCGCATAGCCTGTTACACTATATATATTTCAGAATTCAATTTTTCGAAACCTTTAACTAATAAATTAATTCCGACATAAGCTGTTTTAAAATTTCATTGTTAATTTTCATGGTGATTGATCACAGAGTATGATATAAATAGGCGGAGATGTTTACGAAACCATATATCTTGTGATAAGAGCACCAAAAAATATACAAGAATGTTTATACTATTAGTCAGGAAATACGAATATAGATTACTGCCATTTAGGGGCTTATTAAGTATTTCTAAAAGTACAATCGTTATGAATACAACTATTTAAAGAGTGGGACTGTGTGGTAAAAATATTTTTAATTAGATTAAGATTGAAAGACGGCGATTAAGTCAATCATCATTATCATCATAATTACAGCCCTTCACAAGGCCACTGCTAAACATAGGCCTCCCCTAAGGAATTCCACAAAGCACCACGTATCAATCGACTTCCTGCGTGTCTTACCAGGTCGTTACTCCATCTACTGGGGGACCACCTCACACTTCGCCTACCGGTACGAGGCTGCCACTCGAGAACCTTTCTTCCCCATCTTTTGTCGGTTTTTCGAGCTATATGGCCGGCTCATTGCCACTTCAGCTTACTATAAAGCTATTTTTATTTAGCTTACTATGAGGTAAATATAGAGAGTAAACTATTTGAAAGGAGTAATGACCGGGTGTCTTAGTGGTGAATGTAAGTTTTCAAATTGTTTTTTGGGCCTGAATATATCGAATTGTCTCATGTGTCTTGTACAGTATGTTGTAGGCGTGTGTATCTCTTTACGGAAACGACTCACTGATACGAATCACTGAAGTGACACAAAAGATTGGTTCAGTAACAACGTTTCAAATGTATCATTTGTATCTGGAACAGTGAAACATTACTTTGCTCTTTGCTCATTTCGCGCGACGCGTCGCTTGCGAGGCGACTGAGCCACGAGCGAGAGAGAGAGACTGAGACAATGATTAACTTAACTATTGACTCACGAGTGGCGAGTGAGCGGGCGAAATAATTATAATCCACACAAGTCAGATAGAGATAACAAATAAGAAGTGTATCCTCAACTCGTACGGATTTTCGCTGACGTTATTCATGCACGTAAAATTTACCACTAAGGCGATTATGTGTCAAATACTATACGGTCCTTTTTTGTATGTAACGTTTGCATTAAAAAGTTGACATTTTACGTTGATGCGGCACATGTCAAATTGTTTATATTCATTAGCGCCTGTTTACGAAAACATACTGAGTTATGTTTAGGATTTCTTTGCGTAGTGATTATTGTGACTTTATTTTCTTCCTTTTCATCGTAAAGTTTAGAGTTATGATACTTTACGAGTAAATTCTGTGTACATATACATTGCTGTTTTGTGTAAATGGACATTTTTGTAAATAATGAATTGACATAGTGACATTTTTGTTAAAGTATGAAGGAGAATCGATTTTATATACAATCTTATTACGGTACACAATAAATAATCTAAGCACTTATATTATTCAGCATGGTTGCCACATAATATTTCACGGATCAGTCAGTAATAAACGCCCGCGACGCAATTTAATGTACCTATTCGGAACATTCTTTCTTTTATATCTTTTGAGGCGATGATACAAATGAGCCAAATGAAACATATCAGTGTTTCGGAACATTTCAGTGATCAAGATGCAAATGTTCCAATCCCAAAAATGATACACTTTGCCCACCTCCAGTATGTTGTGTCTGACTTTTATGTGTGCGTAGAAGTATAGAGATAACTATTATTTGAATTAATGGCTCTATATTTTTACATCAATTTCTGATAGAAATGTTCCTTGGTTTTGCTCAGGTGCTATTCATGTTTTACACACTTAATTATATAATTAGGGCTTGCAATGAGCAGAAGAATAGAAATAATATGTTATTTGGTATTTTTGTGACGTAGCATAATAATAAAAAGGTTACATTTACAGCATTTTGAAAGAAAACTAAAACTCATATAGTACGATGAAAAAATCACAATAATGTCAGGAATATGACGCTATGCTCTACATAAAACGGAAATGTTTAACTAGGGTTTAGTGTATACGTCTAGAGACTTTAATAAAACATTAATAATAGTCTCGTCGGAACACAGCGTCATCTTATAAAAATCGCACAGCTTCCATAGAGGATTTTTCAGAGAATCAAGCATAGTTAACTGTAAACTGTAACCAACAATCCAACAAGTCGTGAAGCAATTAATTTCACCTGAAAACGTTTTTAAAAGTATCGCTCAAGGAAAACTCGTGTTTCGTTTAATTACAAAATAGCGTGGTAGGCTCAAATGTTACGCATAATGTAATTGAATTTTAATTAGTTCTTCATAATATATTTTAATTGATTGGTTATCTTTTATTTTTAAACAATAACGTGTTGTGACACTATAATATTCTTTCATATTATATACCTACTAATCTAATGAATTTTGTAATGATATTAATATTTTAATTAAACGTCACATTATTCAATTCAATATTTAAAATCTCTTTCAATACTTGAACAAATAGATAGCTTTCACTCTCAATCTTTAAAAATAAAATCGCATAGCAAGGTAAACATAAAAATAACAAATTTTATAAAAATTCGCCAATTAGTATAAATATACTCACCTTAAACACCGCTGGAGCTAACGGTATAGCAGCTTGATTGTGAAGATGTTTTTTCGACATATTTGCTTCTTTTCCGTTCCACGTTTAACGAGATATGACTTAAAATATTTAATAAAAAATCAAACTCGTCACAATATTTAACAGATTTGAAAAACAAATTCTAAACAAGCCGTATTATTAAAAGTGACTTGCGTTCTACAAATCGCCGACGTTTTAATTTCGGAAAACTTTGTTCGCCGTGCGATAAATTCTGTTCGTCTGTCGCCAAATAGTTTCGTGATTTGCGATATAAACTTTATATGATAAAAAGTTAGATGGAAGTTAGACGCGTCAGCGTCTGAACGTCGTGCCACTGAAGTGGTCAATTCAGCAATGAGCGAGTGGGGCGCATTCGAACGCGCTACTCGGAGTGAGGAGCTGTCGACTGTCGTGTTCCGTCGCTACTCGGGCCGCGAGCCGAGGTTGAGACGAAGGCGCCGAACCTCGAACGCTTGGCGCCGGAGCCCTAGCATGATGTTATGCCTATGCCGAACGTCACCTGACTCACCGTCATGCTACCCTACCTCCAGTGACCGCGAATTACATATTTCAATTATTTCGTTTATTTTATAGACTGTATTCGTAATAATACGCATATCAATGTACCACTTGAAACATTTATTACTGAAAAACCTGGGCTTATCTAACTTGTACTTACTATTTGGGCTCTTTGAGATATTGAAAAGTTATATAAAATAATGCATATATTATGATACAAGAAACGGCAAAGCGAAATATAGTTTGCGCTGTAAACATTCGGTACAATTGATTAATTTATATAAGAGGTTTTCATGAATGAGCAAGTAATATGTGCTAGGTTAGGTTATAAATTCTGGCGACACAACGATGATAGAGGGCTAGCATCATCTGACTGACGTTATCCCACTCTGTATCAATGATGTGTGTGTGTGTGTGTTTGTGCGTGCGTGCGGGCGTGCGTGCCTGCGTGCGTGCGGCCGTGCGTGCGTACGTTCGTGCGTGCGTTCGTGTGTGAGTGCGTGCGTGCGTGCGTGCGTGCGTGAGTGCGTGCGTGCATGCGTGCGTGCGTGCGTGCGTTCGTGCGTACGTGCGTGAGTGCGTGCATGCGTACGTGCGTGCGTGCGTGCGTGCGTGCGTCCGTGCGTGCGTGCGTGCGGCCGTGCGTGCGTACGTGCGTGCGTGCGTTCGTGTGTGAGAGCGTGCGAGCGTGCGTGCGTGCGAGAGAGCGTGCGTGCATGCGTGCGTACGTGCGTGCGTGCGTTCGTGCGTTCGTGCGTTCGTGCGTGCATGCGTGCGTGCGTGCGTGCGTGCATGCTTGCGTGCGTGCGTGCGTGCGTGTGTACGTGCGCGCGAGCGTGCGTGCCTGCGTGCGTGCGGCCGTACGTGCGTGCGTGCGTTCGTGTGTGAGTGCGTGCGTGCGTGAGTGCGTGCGTGAGTGCGTGCGTTCGTGCGTTCGTGCGTGAGAGCGTGCATGCGTGCGTGCGTGCGTGCGTGCGTGCTTGTTTGCGTGCGTGCGTGCATGCGTGCGTGCGTGCATGCGTGTGTGCGTGCGTGCGTGCGTGCGGGCGTGTGTACGTGCGTGCGTGCGCGTTTGCGTGCGTGCATGCGAGCGTGCGTGCGAGCGTGCGAGCGTGCGTGCGTGAAGGCGTGCGTGTGTGCGTGCGTGCGTGCGTGCGTGCGAGCGTGCGTGCGTGCGTGCATGCGTGCGTGCGTGCAACGTGCGTGCGTGCGCGTTTGCGTGCGTGCATGCAAGCGTGCGTGCGAGCGTGCGAGCGTGCGAGCGTGAAGGCGTGCGTGTATGCGTGCGTGCGTGCGTGCGTGCGAGCGTGCGTGCGTGCGTGCGTGTGTGTGTGTGTGTGTGTGTCTGTGTGTGTGTGTGTGTGTGTGTGTGTGTGTGTGTGTGTGTGTGTGTGTGTGTGTCTGTGTGTGTGTGTGTGTGTGTGTGTGTGTGTGTGTGTGTGTGTGTGTGTGTGTGTGTGTGTGTGTGTCTGTGTGTCTCTCTCTCTCTGTGTGTGTGTGTGTGTGTGTGTGTGTGTGTGTGTGAGTGTGTGTATGTGTGTGTGTGTGTGTGTGTGTGTGTATGTGTGTGTGTGTGTGTGTGTGTGTGTGTGTGTGTGTGTATGTGTGCGTGCGTGCGTCCGTGCGTGCGTGTGTGTGTGTGGATTACGGCACATGTTCTTATAAAATCAGTAGATAATATCAGTAGATGCTGGTGATAAGAAGGTGACACCATAAAATAGATATTTTAAAGTGTCATTCAATATTAAATTTGACCAATGATATGTATCAAATATCGCAATAAACATTATACCGTAAATTAATAGAACACCATGAAATTAATATTTATTTTGTTAAAACTGAATTTAATTTAATTATGAATGAATGTAAAGAGTGAAATGTAAATAACGCAATTTTTATCCCAAGACAAGTTACCTTTCTTATGGATACATCGGAAGACACATCGGATATAAAAAAAATTATTGGTGTTTCTAGACATATGATATTAATGCAATTCTGAAAAATTTATTCACGTATTCTTTTATCATATTATATCTATGCCCATTATCAATCACTAGCTGTGCACCGCGGTTCCACCAGCGTATATCACCCGTCTGCATTTTAAATAGCAATGTAGTGAAAATTGGCAACATTAATGGAGTTCTTTTATCTATCGGCATATGTACGTTATAGAACAAAGCCTAGCACGTGGTAAATCAGCACTTAAAATTGCAATTAACAATTTCATTGGCGCCGGCGGTAATGTGAAATTTACAGCGAGCGCTACCCATCTGAGCTACCACGGTTCATTAATAATTACTAAGAACTATAACCTGACATCTGTTCTTGGCGCCTCGGCAGTCTTGAAGGTTCGGACCTGTCCATCCTTTGGCTATGCGTAGACAGCGACGTCGATCCGCGCGTCTATGGGTGCCTCTATAGTTCCCATAGCGGTAATGCCAAAACAGACCGACTCATCGACCACGTCCAAATGGCTACAGATTCCTTGCTACAACAGGTCCCATCCGCGAGATCGTCATCCGTGGCGATTTTTACGCCCACCATGCCTAATAGCTCGGTTCACATTTCACTGATCATGCGAGGAGATCTGTTTATGACAAAGGTCCGTAAAGCACTCCTCTCCCTGGACATGTCGAGTAGCCCTGACGGAATCCCCGCAATTGTGCTGAGGACGTGTGCTCCGGAGTTGGCACCGGTTCTAACGCGTCTTTTCTAGTACTCCTACTCCCTAGGCGTAGTCCCGAAATCATGGAAGACAGCTTTTGTTCACCCGATCCCTAAAAAAGGCGACCGCTCAGACCCGTCCAACTATAGGCCTATCGCCATCACCTCCTTGTTTTCCAAAATAATGGAATCCATTATAAACTGCCAGCTTATGCGGTACCTTGAGGATCACCAGCTGATTAGTGACCGCCAATATGGTTTTCGTCGGGGTCGATCAGCTGGTGATCTTCTGGTCTACCTGACTCATAGATGGGCGGAGGCAGTAGAGTCCAAGACGGAGGCGTAGGCCGTTAGTTTGGATATTGCGAAGGCCTTCGATCGGGTTTGGCACAAAGCGCTTCTTTCGAAGCTCCCATCCTATGGGCTTCCCGAGAAATTGTGCAATTGGATCACCAGTTTCCTTGCAGATCGGAGCATCAAGGTCTTTTTAGACGGTGCATACTCTGACTACAAGCCTATTAACGCTGGTGTTCCACAAGGCTGTGTGCTATCACCAACGCTGTTTCTTCTGCATATCAATGATATGTTGCAAACTGGTAACATTCATGCGGATGACAGCACTGGTGATGCTGTATACACCGGCCGTGCCAATATTTCTCGGGAAAACGTCGCCTAGTACCGGAACAAACTTGTGTCTGAAGTCGAGTCTTTGCTGAACAAAGTCTCGGATTGGGGGCGACTAAATCTAGTCCAGTTCAATCTCCAGAAGACACAAGTTTGCGCGTTTACAGCTAAAAAGAAACCCTTTGTCGCATCTCCTCAGTTTTAAAGCACTCCCCTTGTTGCCTCAGCCAGTATCGGAATCCTCGGCGTCGACATATCGAGTGACGTGCAGTTTCGTGGTCACTCGGAAGAGAAGGCCAGATTGGCTTCTAAAAAGCTTGGCATACTCAGCAGAGCGGGACAGTATTTCATGCAGACACAACGCCTGCAACTTTACACGGCGCAGGTTCGGCCTCACATGGATAATGTTCCCATCTCTGGGCCGGGGCACCCCAGTGTCAGCTCCTTCCACTTGACCGCATCCAGCGCAGAGCGGCTCGAATCGTCGACTACCGAGTCCTTTGCGACCGGCTTGATTGATTGGCGCTGCGAAGAGATGTTGCATCCCTTTGCATTTTCTTTCGTATTTACCACGAGGAGTGCTCTGAGGAATTGTTCGGATTAATCCCAGCCGCCAAATTTCACGAACGCACATCGGTGAAGAACTCCCGATATCATCCACACCATCTGGATGATTGGCGGTCCACCGCTGTGCGATTTAGAAGACGTTTTCTTCCTCGCACAACTTCCTTGTGGAATCGATTACCATCAGCGATTTTTCCGGACCGATAAGACTTAGGGACCTTCAAGAAAAGAGCCTACTCCTTTTTAAAAGGCCGGCAACGCATCTGCAATTATCCTTGGTTTCCTTGGTGTTGCATTTGTTCATGGGCGGCGGTAGTCACTTACCATCAGGTGAGCCGTGTGCTCGTTTGCCCCCTCTCCTATAAAAAAACCTAACATTTTCATACATTTATAATTTAATTTGTTTAATAAATACACTTAATAATTATAAATTGTGTAAATCAGTTTTAAGCTGACATACGATTTTTTTCTTTTAAATAAAGCCGACATATCGATATACCGCTATGTTTTCGATATACAAAACTCCGATATTGATATATTTATAGTTATCGATATATTGAATATCCGATATTTTAATAATATCAACAGTCCTAGTTTGAACTGATCAGTTGGAATAATCAGTTGAACTGACCGTGTGTGTCGAACTTTTTTTGGATTAAATCCATTTGAAC